GCTGATTTTATCACAGTAGCCTTGTAGTATAATTTCAAGTCAGGAATTGTAATGCCTCCTGCCTTGTCTTTGTTGCCCAGGATTGCCTTTGCTATTCTAGGTCTTTTCTGGTTCCAAATAAATTTTATGAACGATTTCTCTAGGTGTAAGAAGTATGTTCGTGGTAGTTTGATAGGGATTGTATTCAATCGGTACAGCCATTTAGGGAGTATGGCCTTCTTCACAGTGTTGGTTCTTCCTATCCAGGAACATGGAATATCATTCCATTTTCTGAAATCCTCTATGATCTCTTTTTAAGAGTACTGTAATTTTCCTTTGAAAGATCTTTGACTTCTTTAGTTAGATGAATTCCAAAGTATTCCATTTTCTACGGTGCTACTGTAAAAGGTATTGTTTCCATAATTTCCCTCTCAGTGTGTTTGTTATCTGTGTAAAGGAATGCTCAAAATGTTTGATCTTCTGTTCTTGCACTCCTATTTCTTGTCCTCATTAAAGTGTAAGTACTTCACTTTGGAGAATACTGAGTTGTTGTCCTTCACTTGGAACTTTAATGAAAATATTTAAAGTTTGCATAAGTTGATGAAAGATCTAAATATTAAAACAGAAACATTAAAAATGCTGGAAGAAAGAGTAAACATTTTATGAACAAAATTCCAAAAACATGGGAAATACTATGCAGAATCAACAAGTAAGATCTCTTCTTGTTAAAAAAAAAATTTTGGACAGCAAAATAATTTAACAAAGTGAAGAGAAACCCCAAACCCAAAGATTTGGAAAAATCTTTGCTAGCTCTTCCTCATACTAAAGCCTAACATCTACAATATATAAAGAAATGGAAAAAAAATCAGACCACCCAGATTTAAAGCCATAAGTCAAAAATGGGCATCTGAAAGGAATACATATATCTCAGATTAAAAAGCAGAAATGACAGGTAAATATATGAAAAATGTTCAACATCGATGGTCATTCCAGAGATGCAAATTAAAACAACACTGTGATTCCATCTCATAACACAAAGAATGGCTATTACCAAGAAATCCACCAATAACAAATGCTGGTACAGATGCAGAGGGGGCAAGGAGTGCTTCTGCTCTATAGACGGGAATGTAAATATGCGTAACCACTTAGAAAATCAGTGTAGCGATTCCACCGAAAACTAAAACTAGAGGTTTGATTTGACCCAAATATTCCCCTGCTTGGTATCTTCCCCACATCATTAAAAGCAAAATAAACAGCAATATATGCACAGCCATGTTTATAGCAACATAATATGTAACTAAGCAGCCAAATGCTCATCAATTTGATGAATGAATAATGAAGATGTACTTTTTATAAAATGGCATACTACTCAGACTTAAACGATGAACTTGAGACTTTTCTAACTACATGGATGCACCTGGAAAACATATTATTAAGCAAAACAAATTTGATGCACATGTGTAAATATTGCATCAATTTTTCTGGTATATGAAAACGAAATGTAAATAAGGATCAAAATGTATAATAGATGTTGAGAAATGGGAAGAAAATGCTCAAAAAGGAAGGAAAAGAGGAGGGTGAAACAAAGGCAGTGAAAAAGAAAAATAGGAGACAGAAGGAAGAACTGGAAACAAAGCTTTTGCAAATAAGGTAGGAAAGAAGTATTGAATGGAGGGTAGGGGAATGGTGTCAAAAGAAGAATCAAGATATATCATATACAGCTACAAATTTCCTATGATGAATATGAATTAATGTTTAAAAATTTGCTTATTCAGATGGACTGTGGTGGAATAATTGATACTGTAGGTGGGTGGGGACAGAGATAAAAACTTTTTCAAACCATCCCTCTAGGATCCTATTACCTTTATCTCCGCAAACTCACACAAAAAATTTAGCTTTCGCTCTTTGTTTGCTTCCTTTACGTTTGGCTTTCCTTTTCTACATGAGAATTGCTATCATCTCTATAACAAGATATGTGTGAATGCAAATATTTATCATTACCAAAATTAAGTACTACTCTATAACATTTTATTCAATAGACCACTGCTTAGTGTCTGAATTGTGATGCTTCTGGTGTTTTTATTCAGTTTCCTACAATTATTGTTAGAATGATCACCAGGGTTTGAATTTTAAAGGTACAGAACTCTTATACTATAATGACTGGATATATGGCTTCTAGTCATTTCTACCTACATATCTACCCTTTGGCTTTTAAAATTCATGATAAAATACTCTCATCTTCTCATTTTACATGGGTTTGAATTTTATTATTATCTTTTCCTTGATTATTCTCCAATTTCTCAATGTCTTTTCTATAGTACAACACACAAAACTAATTAAAATACTACAGATGTGAAAAATGTATTGAACCACTTCACAGACCACATAATTTTCTTTGGACATTCTTGATTACAAATCAAATACACATGCTTTTGGGAGGGGAACTTGGATTCTGGGTGACAGGAGTGTAAGTAAGGCTTATACCTTCATAATTTCTGAAATTACTTTAAAAATTACATGAACTGAAATGAAATATTAAAGCTAATATTCTCCTAGAAAGTTTTTCTAAATATTTGTGCTTTCTATTTCTGAAATTATTTATTGAGAGACAACTACGGTGCCATTTTAGGTTTCTAGGAACTTGTGCGCAAATAATGAAAGACTTACTTTTTAGAACTTAATAATTCAGTTGGAAATTATGTCTGTATACTTGTAATACAGGCAAGTAGACAGTCTAAAAGTGAATAGATAAATGCTAAGTGAGGAAGAACACAAGAAAGTTGGTGGAGAGAATCATCAAAAAGATTGTTTGGAAGGAAGAGATAAAATAAAGCTGTTGGGACAGACAGGAGCTAAGATAGGGTAGGTAAGGTAGGTATAGAAATGCTCATGCATTGTAGCAGGAATGCTTCTATTTCTAAACTGTATAAAAATATGCAATTATTTATTTATATTTTTAAAAATACATTTTAATTTTTTCCTTCATATTGTGAACGGACTTAAAGTTTAACATATCAATACTTGATGAAAAATACCTGCTCCATATTATGCCTAAAATGTTTGATACTCAGATAGATAGTGAGGTTAAGCTCAACAGCCTAGGTTGTAGGGTAATAACAATAAGCTTCACTTCTGGCGGATTAACAACCTAAGTTTGCAGACCAAAAATTAGAGAAAAAGGAGGGCTGCAATGACAGCCAACATTTTGGACCTAGCCTTTCAAAGTCAGTGAAGACTCAGGACATAGGACAACTTGTACTATAACATCATGTAACTCAATGGTATCCCAAATTTTCTGATCAAGGAGAATATGGGGCCACAGAGGAAAGTGATCAGTGATGTAGAGTGTGCCTAAGGAGAGTCACATGGAGAGAAAACATTCTCTCACACTTTCACAGACAGCAAATTGGTCAAACAATGGCTGTGACTCATCCACATGGCTGACACTGACAAAGGATCTACAAAGTGCAGTACAGGGTTTCAGGATAAGTCCGGAGGGGATTTGACTGACCTTAACAGATACGAAAGCTACATTTCTTGTTATATAGGTCTTGCTTTATCTTGGTCTTAACCATCCAGCAGAAAAGTATAAAAATGAAATATAAAAAGTAAAACCATATTAATATGTTGAGCTGTAAAATGCTCAAGTCAGCAACTTCGAATATTGATAGTCTTACAGAAAACCATTATTGTTATGGACTACTGGACTATTTTGGAATATTTTGCTGAATTCACACACTTATAACATTTAAATGACAAAACCAAACAAAAAAGGGGGTACAAATGAACAACCATTTTGTATTTGTATATTCAAAATTGTTAGGATAGATATATAGCTACATTCTCTTAATTCAATGAATAGAAAGATTTGTTCTAATAGGGTTTATAAACAGGATATCATGTCTGCATCTTGTACAATGAATAAACACTAAGACAACAATATGCAATGTATTAATTATTGAAACTGTCTTACTAATCAGATTGGAAACAGTCTCATTGCTATTGGTTTCTCAATAAAGTTATGGAAAAAAAAAAGAAATGCTCATGCATTTTTCACCATAACACTCCTAATGAATTGAAAAATAAATATATTCTCTTAGAAAATCTAAGGCTTGTGCTTACTTTGGCAGCATGTGTACTAAAATTGGAATGCTACAATGGTTAGCATGTCTCTTTTACAAGGATGATATGCAGATTTGTGAAGCAATCCCTTTTTTACCTCAAATAGACATAACTAAAATGAACTTCTACACCCATATCATAATTGAAATCCCAACCTTTCAGCATAAGACGTGATTGTTAAGAGGTGTAAGGCAGAAGAGGCAAGTAACTTATAAACCTAAGGTTATCAGAGTAACTGCATTTATCAGCATAAATTTGTAAGGCCAAGGAAGCTGGGACCAAAACTTTTCCATTCACTAGAAGAAAATAACTTTTTATGCAGAATTCTATATTCTACAAAATTAGCCTATAAATTTAATGAAGAACCAAAGAGCCTCTGTGACAAAGAAATTTCTGAAGAAATTCATGACTGCTAAATGAACATTGCAGAAAATACTTAAGGAAATACTATACAGAGATGAATATCATCACCACCAGGGAGTACAAAAGAAACTATACATCTAAAGGAGCAACCAAATGAGAGGGAAATATATGTAATGCGATGACAGGATTCAGTAATTACTTACAGTAACAACATGTAAAGATGATCATCTTAAATCTTCAATGAATGATAGCCAGACTGGACTAAAAACCAAAATCCAAACATATGCTGTCTGTGAGAGAAGTATCTCCTTCTCCACAAAATATACTACAAAGACTAATAAAAGTGAAAGAATGAAGAAAAATATATCCCATTGTCTCAATTACTCTTCTCTCGTTGGTATCACAAATATCCGACAGTCAAAATGAAGAAAGTAAAGTTTTATTTACCTCACAGTTACTGGAGGTTTCAGTCCATACTTGGCTGGCTCCAAGGCAGAGTGGCACATGGCAGAGAGCAACCTTTCAATGGCAAAGAGCAGAGAGGAGTAGCAGCAACAGTAGCAACAGAGAGTAAATCTGTCTCCCTTAAGTTGCATTCAGGCTATCGGCTCCAAGCTGGGTGCAGTACTCGCACCCATAATCCCAGCAGCACTCACACACATAATCCCAGTGGACCATGAGTTAATCACGAACTTTAGAAGTCCGCCCCATGAATGCATGAAGCTTTGGGGGAACAACTACACACAAATCATAACATTCCAAACCCCCAAAGACTCATGCATATCTCTTTGTGTAAAGGACATTTTGGTTCATTTCTAAGAGTTGCCAAAAACACAACAGTTTCAGCATTGCTGAAAAGTTCAAGTCACAAGTCTCTTCCAAGATGTAAGACAAACTTTGCTATTCCAAAAGGTACACACAGCAAGATACCAAGCATTGGGGCCAAAGCAACTCCAAAATACAGCTGGGCAAACATTAGGTCCTATAGTTCAATGTGGAATATCATAAGCAATCTGTGGCAAATTGTGAACACCATGTGGCTCTGACCCTACGGCACTCAGTGGTAGTTCCCATGGCTTCTTGCTTCCTCCTTGCAGCTTTTCTTAGATGACCCATGTTCTTGGCTTTTCCAAATCTTTGGGGTTTCCACTGAATACTAGGCTTCTCACTCACAGCTTTACACACTACCCTCTCGGGGCACCCTGCCTGGCCTCCCCGGCCTTCTGAAATCTAGCTGGATGTCTTCTTAACCTCAGAACTCCTGCATTCTGTAAGTGCTTAAAACCAATGCCATGCGAATGATGCCAAGGTCTGCTGCCAGCTGAAGCAGCAGCTAGGCTTCCTTCTCTCTTGACTGTAGGGGTCGAGTGCCTGGATCTCTGAGGACTCTGACCCTGATTCCAAGGAATAAATTCTCCATGTCGATGCCATTCTGGAACCTGATGTGGCCACCACCACCATTCTGGAACATAGGGCTATGTGGCTTTCCCCTCAAGGCAAAGTCTTTCACTCTTGTAATTCTGAGGCTGCAAAGAGTGGAAACCAGCCACCTTCTTGTGATGCCCTTTGGCCATCCTTTCCACTCTCTTGTTCTTTTGCAGTAGTGGATATCCTCTCAGCTCTATCTTTGCATTCCACAGCTTTATTGGAGCTTCCTTTCTGGCCAAACACAACATTTTCAATTATCTTGCTTGGCTCTTTACTCTTGAATGTCAACACAAATCTGACCATAAACCCTCCAACAATAGGTATGCCACTGCCTCAATATTTGAATGCTATGAGATGTCTTTTGAAAGTTTAATCAGTCTGCTAAGCTTAGTCTCCACCTCAGACAAAGCCTCTGGACATGAGCAAAATGCAGACAAACTTTCTACTAAGCCAAAACACATACTGTCCGGAGTTCAACAACTAATGCAGCCCTTCTTCCCAGAAGAAGCGTCCCCAGCCTAGTCTTTACAGGCAGGATTTCTATCAACCTTCTGGTCTTCTGAACTCTGACCAGAATCTCCTATACAGAACAGCCAAAGCTGTTCCAGCACATCTCTTGTAGGCAACATCTTGGAACCTTTCCTATCTCTTCCCATAAATCATTCCCAAAAGCTCGTAATCCACACTGTCAGGTGCAGTACTCACATCCATAATCCCAGAAGCACTAACACCCATAATCCCAGCAGCAATCACACCCATAATCCCAGTGAATCCTAACTTAATCACAAACTCTAGAAGTCTGTTCCATGACTGCATGAGGCTTTGGGGTACAACTAGATACAAACAACAACATCTGTACAACTATAGCCTAAGCACAAAAACAGCTATATTATTTTCAATCACAGCATGCTTTCAGTCAACACTTGCAAAAAAAGACAATGATAGCCACTATATACTGGTAGAAGGAACAATTCAAGAGATAACAATTACAAATATATGTGCATTGTATTATGGCATACCCAACGTTCAAAGCAAAAAAATATTGGAAATAAAAAGATGATCCTTAAAACAGCCATAGCTTGGGATTCAATTCCCCACTCACACAAAGATAGATTAACCAGACCAAAATTAAACAAATACTATAGATCAAACACACAGTTTAACAGATAGATTTAAAAGAATCTATAGAAGGTTTCACTTAACCACAGTAGAAATATACATTTTTCTCATCATCCCATAAAAACACATCATATAATACACCACAAATCATGCTTAAACAAATAAAGGAGAGTGGAATTAAGGGCCGGTGAGATAACTCAGTGGTCTAAAGTGCCTGCTTAGGCAAGCTTAGGCAGATGCAGGGGACCATAGTTTGATCCCCAGTACCACATGCCCAGACAGCCCTGACCCTAGCCCTCTCCAAAAAGAGTTTAAAAAAAAGGAAATAATCCATACAATTTGACCATAGTATAATAAAGTTACAAATCAAAATTAAAGAAATCACACAAACTATGGAAACTCATACAGAAAAAAATAATAACTTATAGAAGAATCAATGGATCATAGAAAAAAATTAAGAACGTACATAAACATATTCCTAGAATCAAATTATATTGGAAGTAAAACATTCCAAAATATATAGAACACATTAAATGTAGCTCTAAGCAGGAAGTTTATAATATTGAACACAGAAATTCAAAGAAATAGAACATTCTGTGGTTCCATCCCCACAACTCAAACCAGTCAAACCTGCCCTGAAGGCATGTGGAGCAAAAAAAATATATACAACAATCACAAATAAAATAAATAATAAGACATCTAAAGACACTAGAAAAACAAGAACAGTGAGAATGCAATTTTTGTGTTTTCTTTTATTGGTACCTTTTAGATACACATAATGATAACACTCATTATAGGGGATTTATACCTATATATAATTTTCCTTGATTCTTCTCTTTTTTTCCCCATTACACTATGCTTCTCTCCACACCACTTCCCTTCCTTACTTAAAAAGCTTTGTTTCCTCATTTTCCTTCATTTCTGCTTTTTCTTGCCCATTCCTTTTTATTCGCTCCCTTTAGTCACTCACCTGCCTTGTTCCTATCCTCATTTGAACATTTTCTTCCTATTTCCCAATATCTTTTTTTTTTGTGGAACTGGGGATTGAACTCAGGCCCTTGTGCTTGCCAGGCAAGCACTTATTCTACTGAGCTATCTCCCCAGACCCCCAATATCTTTTACATATTTTTTTATTTATACTTTTAGTTTCTCACAACAGAAAAACAACATGGTATTTAGGCATGTATAAAATTAATAGAAAAATTAAAAATTAGAGTAAATATAATGAAATTGAGACTAACAGAATACAAAAGATCAATCAATCAATCAATCAATGGGTTTTTTGAAAGAATAAATAGGAATGATATCACACAAACTAATCTGAAGGAAAGAAATAAATCAACATCAGCACAATCAGATATAATAGCACAAAATAACAATGAACATTGCTAAAATCTAGAGGAATATAAGAAACTGTTCTGAAAAAATTAATTCTAATAAATTGGAGAACGCTAAAAACTGAATAAATTTGGACTAGGGAGATAGCTCATGGCATAAGCACCTGCCTGGCAAGCACAAGGTCTCGAGTTTAATCACGCTCATTTCTGGGGTCCACACAGTGCTACTGCATGCCTTGCTGGCCCCAGAACACTGGTAGCACTGTGTGGGCCTTGGAAATGAGTGTGATGGCACATGCCTGTAACCCCAGAACTAGGGAGACAGAGACAAAAGAATCACTATATGTCTGAACTATGCAGCAAGAACCTCTATCCAAAAAATAAAAGCAAACTGAATAAATTATAAATTATTCAAAAAATAAAAGCGAACTGAATAAATTGAAACACAAGAGATACTAAGATAGAAGTAAAATTTGTAAAAAAAAAAAAATCTAAATAGACCAATAACAGCCAATGAAATACAGGCAGTAATGAAAAATTTACAAAACCCAGAAAATTATGGATTCAATAAAGACATTTACAAGAGCTTCAGGGATGATTTAACATCAATATTTCTCAAACACCCTAATGAAATCAGAAAGGAAGGAACAGTAACAAAATGTTTCCTGGAAGTTAGCATTACCTGATATCAAAACTGAACAAGGATGGGGCCGAGGACATAGCTCGGTTGAATAAGCGCTTGCCTGACAAGTGCAAAGAAGGCCTGAGTTCAACCTCTAGCTCCGGAAAAAAAAAAAAAAACACAACATAAAATGAACAAGCAACTAAGGAAAGAAAGAAAGAAAGAAA